TGGAGAAGCAGGCTCTACGAATATCCCCACCCTCAATGATGGGGGAGCCCAACACATCAGTGCAAAAGATAAGGCCAAAGTATTGTCAACAATGCATAAGCAGATGTGTGAAGTAAATGATCCATCTCGGCCTCCTCCAGTGGACCCTGGCATTACAGTTACCAGTTTCAGCCAATTCAACTCACTCCATATGATGTCAAGAAATGGTTGGAGGCACTGGATACAGCAAAATCTATGGGCCCTGACAACATTCCAGCAATAGTACTGAAGGCTTGTGCTCCAGAACTTGCTGTTCCCCTAGCCAAATTGTTCCAGTACAGTCATAACATTGGCATCTACCCAATAATTAGGAAAATTGCCCAGCTATGTCCTATACATAAAAAGCAGGACAAATCCAACCTCCAATTATCACCCCATCAGTCTACTCTCGGTCATCAGTTAAGTGATGGAAGGTGTCATCAATGGTGTTATCAAGCAGCACCTGCTCAGCAATAACCTGCTCAGCGACGCCCAGTTTGGGTTCCGCCAGGGCCACTCAGCTCCTGATCTCATTACAGCCTTGGTTCAAACATGGACAAAAAAGCTGAATTCCAGACATGCATTGAGAGTGACAGATCTTGACATCAAGGCTACATTTGACCGAGTGTAGCATCAAGGAGCCCTTGCAAAACTGGAATCAATGTGTATCAGGAGCAAACTCTCTACTGCTTGGAGTCATACCTGGCACACAGGAAGATGGTCATGGTTGTTGGAGGTCAATCATCTCAGCTCAAGGACATCTTTGCAGGAGTTCTTCAGGGTATCGTCCTAGGCCCAACCATCTTCAGCTGCTTCATCAATGTCCTTCCCTTCATCATAAAGTCAGAAGTGGGAATGTTTGCCAATGATTGCACAATCTTCTGCACCATTCATGACTCCACAGCAACTGAAGCAATCCATGTTCAAATGCAATAAGGTCTGAACAATATCCAGGCTTTGCCTGACAAGTGGCAAGTAACATTCAAGTCACACAAATGGCTGGCAGTGACCATCTTCAATGACAGATGATCTAACCACCATCCATTGACATTCAATGGCATTATCATCACTGAACCCCCAATATCAACATGCTGGCGGAAGCTATTGACCAGAAGCTCAACTGGACTTGCCACATAAACACAGTGGCTATAAGAGATCAAAGGCTAGGAAAACTGCAGCAAGTAGCTCATATCTGACTCCCAAAGCCTATCCACAGGGCACAAGTCAAGAATGTAATGGAATACTACGCACTTGCTTAGATGGGTGCAGCTCCAACAACATTCAAGAAGCTTGACCATACATGACAGAGCAGCCCGCTTGATTGGCACCACATCTACAAGCATTCACTCCCTCAACATCAACGTTCAGCAACGGCAGTGTATGTTAGATACAAGATGCACTGCAAAAATTCACCAAAGGTCCTACGACAGCACCTTCCAACTAGAAGGACAATGGCAGGAGATGCATGGGGATACCACCACCTGCAAGTTCTCCTCCAAGACTCTCATCATCCTGACTTGGAAATAAATTACTGTTTCTTCATGGTCGCTGAGTCAACATCCTGAAATTCCCTTCCTAAGGGCATTGCAGGTCAATTTGTAGCACATGGACTGCAGCAATTCAAGAAGGCAGCTCACCACCTCCTTCTCAAGGGCAACTAGGGATGGGCAAAAGTGTGGGATGTCCACATTCCACAACAAATATCATGCAGGTAAACCTGACCCGCTACCAACAAGCTTTAATGCTCTCCTCCATTGTCAGTCTCAAAAAATATCCCATCATGGTTTTAGTGTCAGAGGCAAATCATCACTGCCATAGGATATCATTACTGAAGCTTCTCAGGCCAACAATCTTCAGCTAATTAATAAATCACAGTCCATTAAAGTAAATTGTGGAGCTGCTTGCTTCTGATTCCACACTGTTCAGATCCATCCACAACTCTATGGGTCTGGAGTCACACATAGGCCAGACCAAGTAAGAGTGGCAGATTTCCTCCCCTCAAGACATTAATGAAGCAGATGGGTTTTTATGACAATTAGCAGTGGTCACAATTACTAAGGCATTAATCTAGGTTTTTTTCTTAAATTCAAGACATTTTCATTAAATTCAAATTTAAACTTTTGCCACGCGTGGGGTTCGAAACCATATCCCCAGAACATTAGACTGGGTTTCTGGATTACTCGTCCAGTAATCTTGCCACTACACCACCAATAGATGTTTTACATCTATTGTCAACTGTATAATTGAAGTATGCATTTTGTAAGGAAGGCCAATCTTTTATAAAACTGACGTAGGACCCTATGAGTTCTCCCTGAATCCTACAACACATGATGATTCACTTCAGCCTAAAAACAAATTTATGTATTAATCCATCACAATGGGAGACATTAAGACTAAAGTTAACCCTTGGACTACACAATGGGTGTTTCCAAATATGTAAGAATTCAAAGCTTCCGAGAGACCAGCAGGTTGAAGGGACACAACAGGAAATTCCAGTATAACTCTCATTGCTTTGTGGAACAAAGATTCATCAGATATAGCAGGCCTTTTGCCTTAGTTGTAATAAGATAGGCTGTTGTGAACTCTAAGAAGTCTGAGAGATACCATTAGAAAGGAAGAGGTACCTTAATATGGAAATGGAGGGAGGCAAATCAGCTAAAATACTGCTACACTGAACCAGACTGCTACAGGTTACAATTCACAGTGCTGCAAATAAAGGAGCTTTCATTGTCCCCAAAAATCTGTTCTCTCAGTCTGTGGAAACTACCTCCAACTATTCAACTACAGAAGCCATTGCAGCTCCTGAACTCACTCCTTCGCCTCAGAAAAGGAAGTCTGCAAGCAAGCCAAATCTGACTGGTCTTGCGCTTATCTTTCAAGTATCTTTTATCCTTACCTACTTTTAATCTTTTTGCCCTTATTCTACCAACTATTATGTTTTATAAATTTAAGCAATTGTGTAACAAGCTAACCTTTGATCTTGTTTAAGACTAAAGTTTTAAAACTGGTTACTTTTAAATTGGGACACTTCAAATACTAAAGAAGACTGGAGTTATACAAATTTGCAGCTCCCAGACCACTCCACAGACATGTCTAGTGTGGTCATGACACTACAGAGAGCTGTTTAAATTTTGAATGCCTTCCGCAAACAGTGGCAGAAATAGAATACAACATAGTATTTTAAAAGAAAATATATTGCAATTTCAAAAAGAGAAAGGTGATAAGAATTCACCAAGGGAAACAAATGGACAGCACCAATACTCCTTATCATCAACTTTTTCAGTGTGTGGACCACCGAGGTATGTGCACGCCATCAACTTCCAAAACCGAAGTCAATGTGACAGCATGCACAGAACGTCAGAGCGCAGCTTAGAGAAATGATGGATAGCATATAGGCTGAGTGGTCTCACCCAACACAGTAAAATTCTTTAGTGCTAAGCTTTATACTCACATTTACTAAGACATACACAGAACTACAAATTCTGTTGAAATGTATGCCATTTAGGAGGTATTTTAGGAGTTAGCATGCTAATTTTTGTCAAATTTCTACAATTTTAGATTTGAAATACAATACTATCTACAACAATAACAATTCTGACCAAAAAAGAACCTCTAACCACCAACATTGGGCCTATACACAGCTATGTACAAACATGTGAATTCAAAACTAGAGGAGGCCGCTCAACTAATTGAGTCTGCTCCATGATTCAATAAGATAATTTTGATCTGATTACTCCATATTCCCATCTATCCATAATAATCCTGCAGCTCCTTGCTTATCAATAATCTACCTACCTCTGCCTTAAACATATTCAAGGACTGCTTCCACTGCCCTTTGAGGGAAAAAGTTGAAAAATTTTGAGACACTCTATGAGGAAGAAATTCCTCATAACCCTGTTTTAAATTGGCAACACTTATTTTGAAATAGTGACTTCCATTTCTAACTTCCTCATAAATGGAAACATTTTTTCCACATCCACCATGTCAAGACCCCTCAGGATCTTATATGTTTCAATCAAGTCATCTCTTACTCTTCTAAATTCCAGCCCTGGTACAAGCCTAGCCCATCAAACCTTTCCTAAGTCCATTCCATGTATTAGTTTAGTAAATCTTCTCTGAACTGCTTCCAAAGCATTAACATCCCTCCTTAAAAGGGAGACTTATATACTGTACACAGTACTCCAGTCTCACCACTGCAACCTGAGAAACAGTTATGTATATCTCCAGGAATAAGCGTAATAAGGTAGAACTGTATCCATTCACGGGATGAGAGCGTTGCTGGCTAGGCTGCATTTATTGCCCATCCCTAATTGCCCAGAGGGCAGTTAAGAGTCAACCACATTGCTGTGGGTCTGGAGTCACACGTAGGCCAGACCAGTCAAGGACGGCAGTTTCCTTTTGCTAAAGGACATTAGTGAACCAGATGGGTTTTTCCCAACAATCGACAATGGATTCACGGTCATCATTAGACTCTAGACCAGATATTTATTGAATTCAAATTTCACCATCTACAGTGGCGGGATTCGAACCCGGGTCACCAGAACATTATCCGGGTCTCTGGATTAACAGTCCAGCAATAATACCACTAGGCCATCGCCTCCCCTATGACATAGTCATAACATTCAAGGCTAAGGGTCTAGGGCTAGTAAATAGGATTTATGTAGCTTTAGTGTAGTTTTGGTGGTACAGACATCATGGGCCGAAGTCTTCTTCTTACTGTATAATTCTATGATCCTAGTCAGTTGTAGTACATATAAGGAGTAGGTAACAATAGCAGTGATAAAAGTTTGTTCATTGTGTCAGGTGGTGCAAACAATGATCCCTCAACTTTGGAAATGTTGCAGTGGGGGTAACTCTGGATGACTGTATAATGTCAATGTTGTCAGCATCAGTCAGCTGTTTACTACATGCAATAACTGTTTCAAAACTCCTAAAATACTTATAGTTGCCAAACATAGCAACAGAGACAAAGAACTTCTTACCGTTGAAATTGTTCTTTTCTCTGGGTGATATGCTGTACATATGCTTTCAATTTTGCATGCTGAAATGATAAAAAAGTATTATATATATTTAATTTCTTAGTAGTACAAAATGTACACAATCCAACATTCAATGGCCAATATAAGCTTTGGAATTTCTATTGTTCCATGCACTTCAAGATTATCCGGCACGATAATGGCTAGCTAACCTGATCAAATCATCACTTGCTATACATCATGCAAACTCATCAAAGAAAATGAGGCCACCATTTTTGGTCCTGAAGGGGCCTCATCTATCTCATACCTTACCTAGCTACTCTCTGGAAATCACACAAGAGGTACTCTCCATAAACAAGATTCCATCATCTTGTCAAAAAGACATCATGCCTACTACACAAATGGGAAATGCAATATTTAAGACTTAGTAGGAACTGCAGATGCTGGAGAATATGAGATACCAAGGTGTAGAGCTGGATGAACACAGCAGGCCAAGCAGAATCAGAGGGGCAGGAAGGCAGACGTTTCGGGCCTAGACCCTTCTTAAGAAATGGGGGAGGGGAAGGGGGTTCTGAAATAAATAGGGAGAGAGGGGGAGGCGGATAGAAGATGGATAGAGGAGAAGATAGGTG